CCCCCCCCACCGGCGAGGCTCTCATTTCATGGAACAGAGGAGAAGGGGATTGGGTTGAAGGGACAGGCAGGAGAAGGTGTGGAACAGACTCACCACTGGGGAGCCTGGCCTCACCCCATCGGGGCTCAAAGTGCCCAACCTGGTGCCAGGCTTTGTTTAGGGACGCTGGTGGATGGCATGCAAGTCCTCAGAAAACACAGCTGTGACCTTCAAGCCAGGGGAAAGGCGGGCTCCCTCAGCCGACTCTCTTCACTGAACAGTGAAGGCGAATGTGCTGATCCTCCCTGGGAAGATGTCTGGTCAGAAGGGTTCTTCTCTATTTTAAGAAAAAAAACCCTGGCAAACCGACTGGCTCCCCCTGCCCACCAACTATCTCAAGCTATCAACGTCCACTTTGTTAGAAAGAAAGTGGGTATCTTACTATCTGCCTCCACCTGCCTTCGTGAAACCCAGTGTGAATGTCCGGAAGCCAAACAAGTTCCCTTCTGTCCACATTCAAGGCGCACCAATTTTTTTTCAGCCTGGAAATCTATTTCACACAATGTTTCTTTCCTCCATTTTGGGGTTTCCAGTAAACTATGTGTGGCTTGGGAAAAACGAATTTGGAAGATGAATTAAACACAGACAGCCTCATTTAGAAGAGAAATGGTCAAGACAGAATGAACCTCAGCATCCTGCTCTCTAACCCCATGGGAGGGGACACAGGCGGGGCAACACAGAGAATGGTGTGGATGGGTGGTCTCACCGTGGTCGGGCCCCTTGAGGGCCAGGCGCGTCTGGTGATGGGGAAGGATCTCCAGCTTGACCTGGTCGGTGGCGTTCGCCAGGAACTGCGTGGCCTCTGCGAGCGTGCAGTACTCCATGCTGGTGCCGTCCACGGACAGGATGTGGTCTCCCACGTGCAGCGCGCCACACCTGGGGGTGGGGGCAGAGAGGCTCAGTGCCATGAGGTGCTCTTCCCTGCAGAACTTGACTTTCATGCCTTCACAGTTAACATTTCAGTTTTCATTTACTTTAAAAAAAGGTTTTGAATGTTACAGGAAATACCAGTCGTTGGAGTCTAAGCACCTTGGTTATGAATAAGAACATAAGGCCAGCCGAGTGCAGTGGCTCACACCTGTCATCCCAGCACTTTGGGAGGTAGAGGCGAGAGTATTGAGTCCAGGGGTTCGAGACCAGCCTGGGCAGCTTGGTGAAAACTTGTCTCCACAATGATTCAAAAAATTAGCTGGGTGTGGCTACTTGGAAGGCTGAGGCAGAAAGACCACCTGAGTCCAGCAGGTTGAGGCTGCAGTTGCTGGGAGTGCGCCACTACACTCCAGCCTGGACGATAGAGTGAGATTCTGACTCAAACAAACAAATAAAAAAGTAAGGCTTCGTGGAAAATCCATAAACATTCAAGGACATATTTTTCTCTTAACCTTTGTAGAAAATCTCATCTTAGGGTGTTGGTGCTAAACACTGAGGGGGCGTCAAGGAGGGAAGAGGAAGAGGGACGTTTTCCCCCTTGACTCTTTTCTTTGTGTGTCTGGCTCTAGGCTTTTCTGTTTATAAATGTGAGTTGGTAAATATCCAGAACCTCATGACGTGGCAGAAAGACTGGGAAGAGGGTCTGTTGAATGTGCGATCAAGAATCCCCTGGGGGGATTTTGCTGACACTTCCTGGGAATCCTCCTGGTCACACAAGCCCCGATGACCCATTCTCTATGACTGTGTCTGATTTTGCTGTTTTGGAGTTAAACACGTGTTAGTGCAAAAGTTCTCGGTGATGGCGGAAATGACACAGGAGTCAAGGGCATCACAAGACCAGGCCTGGCATGAGTAGGGGCTGGGTGGGGAGAGTTGGCCGCCATGTCCTGCTCAACTGAAGACAGGTTACAGGGTGAGCAGAGCAAGCAGGCACAGCTGCCGGTGTCCACTAGTCACTGCATGGACAGCTCCTCACATGGGTCACCCCTGAGGAATGGGGAGAGACAGGACAGTGAGAGCACCCCACGCCTCTGAGCTCCACACAGCCCTGGATCAGCGGCTGTGTGTTCAGGACTGAGTGCAGGAGAGGCCACGTGGAGCTGGAGAGGCCATGGCTGGGGGGCTGCCGTGGGTCTCACGCCAGCTGGGGGGTTTCCAGGCAGGGCTGGGCGCATGGAGCGGGACTGGAGACATTCAGGGAGACTGGAGGACAGTGCATCCAAAAATGTCCAGCACAGAGAGCCCACCTCTCAAGTCAAAGGCATGTCGAGTCATCCCTTCTGTCTAAAACTACAATTCCACCGGGATGCACTTCACATCCTCAGCTGTGGGAGATGGGGGTTTCCTACCAGGAGCTGGAAATGACTTATGAGGGGGAAGGCCGGGTTTTTATGGCTCCCCCTTACTGTACAAGTCTGAAATATTAATTAAGAGCAAGACGTTTCATTTTTATTGTGACACTGGAACGAGTGATACTTTAAGAGACCTTGGAAGGCGGTAAAATCCCAAGGTTAACATAGTATGACAGAATAAGCCCTTCCTTTAAAGACGGCATCATTTAAAAATATTGTTTATTTCAGAAAAAAAGAAATACGATTTTATGGGAGCAGAATTTAACTGTCAACAACTTAGGAAAACCCAGGACTTCTCTGCATAGGGCTTAACGGAGACGTGCTCAACTGCCTGGGACACAGGAAGAAAACGTGCTTGGTTGCGTGACTTTTTTCTGTTGCTAAAGGCCATACCGAACATCTGAAAGAGGTGAAATCACATCACGGTGTGGCCGGTACGCAGGCGGATTTTTAAGCTAGCCTGCTTCCCTACGTGAAATGTGCATCAATGGGCAAGAGAGCTGTTTTTGTGGTGTGTGTGTCTATGTGTGTAGTGTGTGTGTGTGTGTGTGTGTGTGCGCGTTTGTGTGTATTTAAGCACACATGCAATTTTGAGACACAGGCACCTTCCATGACACTCACCTGTCTGCAATACTTGCAGATTTGATTTTGTCTATGACGATGACTTGTTTGTTACAGCACATGGAGGTAGTTAGGGCAACCCCAAGGCTGGCGCCAGGAGTTTTGGCAACTTCAACCAGGAGTGGCCCGGACGCTGTCGCCACAGAATCTGTCAAAGGACGTATTTCCGAAAACAAAACAAAGTAAAACAGATAAGCACACAGACCAAAGAAAAAGGATGTCCAGTCTGGTTTGGCCTGTTACTTTCATCACTGAAACTTAGATTTTCACCCATGTAACATTCCCACAGCAGTGATAAACTCTTAGGCTCCTTGCTGTGCCTGTTCCATCCAGGGGCATGGCAGGAATCTCTCCCACAAGTGTTTAAGCTTCGTGTCAGCTGGGATAATGTCTTTGTGTCTTTACGTCTTCCGCATTGCTTGGCACAGTGCCTGGGACGTACTAGGTCTCTCGACAAATGCTTTTTCAATTAATTCGTTCAATCAATATCTTAGCACTTACTGTGGATAAGTGTATGATGGATGAATGGATGGGTGGAAGACAGGAAGGAAGGAACAGACAGGGAGAGAGGTAAAAGGGGAGGGGAGAATGGGTAAATAGAAGAATGATAGATGGATGAAGAGATGGATGGATAAGTGGATGGACGGGTGGATGGATGAAAGAATAGCCAGAAGGAAGGAAGGGAGAAGGGAGCGAAGGAGAGAGGGAGGAAGCAAGGAGGGAAGAGTGACTAGAAGAATGGATGGGTGGATGGATGAGAAGGATGGATGAAATGATGGATGGAAGGAAGGAAGGAAGGAGGGAAGAAGGAAGCAGGGAGGGAGGGAGGAAGGGTGGGTGACTAGAAGAATGGGTGGATGAGTGGAAGGAAGGAAGGAAGAAGAAAAGACAGGGAAGGAGTCAGGAGGGAGGGGGAGGGGTGGGCAACTAGAAGAATG